ATATGCTATATGCTATATGCTATATGCTATATGCTATATGCTATATGCTATATGCTATATGCTATATGCTATATGCTATATGCTATATGCTATATATAGCAAATTGCAGTCATGCAACTATGGGACATCCAGTCATAAATGCGAGCTGCTTGCCAACTGTCCCTAATGGAGCCTTTGTAGGGTGTTTCTGTGTGTAACGTTTTGCAATGACCGGAAGTGCTATTCAGGCTGTAAAGCACCCTTTCAGTGACCGTCATAACTTTGAATGCTGGTCTTAAGTTGAGGGTTACCTGTAAACAGTTTCAAAATGCGCTGAAGCTTCTTCCATCGCGAGGACTGTACCACCGGCCGTGGGATGTCTTTAGGGGCAGCCCGCCACCACTTCACCTGCAGCGCTGGGCGGCTTTTTAAAGAGAGGCTGACCCTCGCAAGGCCATTGGTGAAGGCCTAAATGGGGTGCGGCTTTTGGGGGGACGATGCCAGAGGTGGGAGAGGTCATGACGTCTCTCCCCACTGTCTTGAAAGATGCACGTGCTCGTTCATTAAACGGCCTCTTCCAGGAATGGTTTTGGCTTTGCCATTAAGAATCCGACACAATCGAAATGGATGAGACAGGGTGGATTCACGCTTCGTGCTAAATTTTATTTCGCTTTATTAGCTTGTTGAACAAGCTGCGGTTTTGCTGAATCCGTACGCAGTGCTAAGCCAAGAGGTCATTCATCAGCAGAAGGGCTGACCTCCTGCAGCTGTGTTTTATGCTAGGCCACGATAGCTGGAGCCATTCCCTGTCTTCCTCCATCTGGTTAGTCTTCCAATGGGTGGGTTTCAGCTCTCCAAATGCCGCCCCCATCCTGGCCATTGCCAAGAAAGAGAACACGCCCCCCGAGTCCCCCCCCCACATCTAGGATGCCAAGCTGGTATTGAACAACTGAACTCGGCAAAAATATTGGGGAGATTTTTTAACTTCACACCGTCAAATGTTGTGACTCCATCTTTGCATGTTAACTCTGTTAAGCTACCAATGGTTTGTATTTTTAGGGCAGAAAAAGAGTTTCCGCCAGTATCACGTACAGTTTTTTGGGGATGCGCCAGAACGAGCCTGGGTGTTTGAAAAGAGCCTGGTCGCCTTCAAAGGGGAGGAGCAGTTTGAGCAACTGTGCCAGGAAAGTGCCAAGCAGTCGACTAACAAAGCAGAGAAAATAAAGGTAACCGTGTTTGGGGCTTCCTAATCGTTGGGCTGTTTTGTCTGCCTGCTATAAGAGCCTTTGGTTTCATCTTGATACGAAGGGAGGAAAGTGTTGGCTTGTCATCAGGTGCCAGGCTTCCAAAGAGCATCCAAAAGTAAACCAAGAGTCCAAGGCTCAAAGTTCCAATTTATTAAGAGAGCCACGTTGGCACATCTGGGAAAACCTGAATCTGAAAGCTTCCCAGGTTCCCCCCCCCCCCTTGAAAGTTAAAGATCCTGCCCCCACACCCACCAGTCCATCCCATGGTCCAATCTCCCACTGCCACGAAGACAGATTCCTCCCATCCAGTTCCGGTCAGGTGCAGAGACAAAGGATGACCTTGGNACAGACAGGGGATAAAAAAGACGAACATAACAATACACAATTTAAAAGCACACAACAGCCATACCAAGCTGCTAAGTTAGTGACGTGGCCGTTAAGTGGACTCGTCTTCCCTGTTGACGTGACCCTGGGACATGGCAGCCATCCTAAGTACATGCCAGTTGCCAAGCCTCTGAATTTCGATCACATGGCCATGGAGGTGAGGCAAGGGTCCTGTGGAAAACAGCCATAGGTCGTTCTTTTCAGTGCCGTTGTACCTTCAAATGGTCACTAAGTGGATGATGTAGCAAACCGAGGTCCATCTGCATGCTCCCTTTCCATTGCTAAAGAGCAGCCCTTCTCCCTCCTTGAAGACCAGAGAATTCCACAGAGCATCAGAAGTGAAATCCTGGCTGCCTTTTTAGCTGTTTCTCCTAAGACTCCCAAAGTGCCTTCAAACTACTGAATACATCCAGGTTGGAGATAGCAACGTCCCTTAGACTTCTCTCCCGCTTCATATTGCTTTTCCAGCCCTCTTTAAGCCCCTTTACAGAGTCAGCCTTTTGCCCCCCAACAGTTTGGGTCCTCATTTGACCCACCTTGGAAGGACGGAAGGCTGAGTCCCTTTTGAGCCAGTCAGGATCGAACTGCTGGCGGTGGGCAGAGTTTAGCCTGCAATGCTGCGTTCTGACCACTGGGCCACGACGGCTCTTGTTTAAAATTGAAACCTTAATAAGAAGCGTTGGAGTTTCGTGTCTCTTCAAGCGTGGGAGTGTTCTCATTGCTAGAATTTGGGTGTGTTTCCTTTCCCCTCCCCCTCCCTAAAGATCTCTGCTGAGGAAGAGGAGGAAGAAGAGGAGGAAGAAGAAGAAGACTCTTCTCTGGTGGCCGGGAAGGAGGAGAAGACGCTCCTCCTGAAGTACAGCGTGGGAGACGTGGTCTGGTCCAAGGTGTCTGGATACCCCTGGTGGCCCTGCATGATCTCCACAGACCCCCTCCTCCATACCTTCACCAAGCTCAATGGTAGGTCCTTTGGGGGAGGGGAGGGGAGGGGGAGCCCCCCGGTTTCAGACAGAGAGAAATCCAAGGGGGAGGGAAGTCGACACAACGGCCCTTCCCTTCACACATCTGCATTGGTTTCCACGGTGCAGAATGGGTGCAGCTTTTAAACGCACCTGACTGGTGATCCTTCAGTCATATGTGGCTGTGGTCATAGGTTCAGGCACCCATACGATGGGACCTGATCTTCCAACCATGTTTACCGCAGTCATTAAGTGAATCACTCCATTTTTCAGCAAATCCATTCTCTCAAATGGAGGTATTTTGGCTGGAAACTGGTGAAAAACTCCCAGAAACATATTCATTCATTCATTCATTCATTCTCTCTCTTGCTCTCTCGCTCTCTCCCCCTCCCTCCCTCTCTCTCTCTCACACACGCACAGATATATATATATATATATATATATATATATATATATATATATATATATATA